TATTTGTGAGGTATTTATGAGTCCCCTAATGATTTTGTACTAGGAAAAAAGTATACAAGAAGGTTAAAAAAACTATTGGAATATACTAAAATTATGATCAAAATGGTTTCCATAATAGCACATCACTATAATTAAAATAAAATGTCTTGGGCCGGGTATTTAGCTCAGTGGTTCTGGCACCTGCCTCGCAAGCGCAAGGACTCAAATTTGATCCCAGGTACCAAAAAAAATTAAAAAATAAAAAATAAAATAAAATAAAATGTCCGCAAAAAAAGCTAAATACATCTTTTTCCTTTTTCACAATTAATTTCCTCAGAACTTTACCTTTTGTGTTTAAAAGAGCTACCTGACAGGGAAATTCTTTTTTCAATTAATTCTTAATTCAGTCATATTTCAAAAAAACAAACAAAAGAACAAAAACAAAAAATGTTTGCTTCTCAACTCTAAATGTGGTTCGAGAAATACCCTGTGTCTCGCTATCCACTCACATTAGCTGGGGACTCAGGACCAGCCTATTTCTCAGCCTTGTCTTCTCCTCTGCCCTTCTGACTTTAGGGGATTCTTTCCCAGAACTCTTCTGACACCAGCACCTTCCTCTGTTTTAAATTCAGCAGAGGGCCGGGGGGTATAGTGCAGTGGTGCCACGCCTACCTGGCAAACACAAGGTCCTGAGTTCGATCCCTGGTATCAAAATTAAATAAATAAATTCAACAGAAAGAGCTTAAATAATTTAAGTAAGAATGACATATAGTAACCTCAACATGGGTTATACTTATAAAAAACACAATCATAATATATAAGAGAAATATATGACACCTAAAAACAAAGTTGATACACTTATAACTGCCCCAGAATCTTGTCTCTAGGCATGGGATTTGCCTTACTGACATTTTGGGCTTGAACATGCCTTGTTGTGGGGGGCATTTCACACATCGTAGGATGTTTGGCTGCCTCCTTGGTCTTCACCTACTAGATGCCAAGAGCACCCTGCTTTAATTGTGACAAATATCTCCAGACCTTGATAAATGTTCCCTGCAGAAAGCAAGAACGGCATGTGCAAAATCATCCTTCGGATGAGAACCACTGACCGTAAGGGCAAGTAGGGTTTATAAAGAAGTATTAAAGCATAGACTCTAAGACAATGTCTACTCATGAGGAAGTACTAAAGTATAAACTTTAATACAATGTCTCTTTAGTATTAAATAATTTTAAATCTTTATGACTCCTTGATCACTCCTTGATTTTTTCTTTTTTAAAAATGGTAAAGTGGGGCAACCAACTTTCCAGTCCCCCTCCTGTCTCTCTTAGACAGAAGCTTGCTTTCTTTCTCTCAATAAATTTTTCCTATTAAAAAAATAAATTTAAAAAATAAAAATAAAAATGGTAAAGTTCCAAGTTCTGCCAGACTGGTGATGCATGCCTGTGATCCCAGCACTTGGGAGGCTGAGGCAGAAAAATCACCTCAAGTTTGAACCCAGCCTGGGCTACATAATGAGTTCAGACCAACCTGAGCTATATAGCGAGACCCTGTCTCAAAAAAGAAACAAACAAAACAAAGAAGTTCCAAGATCCGATTATTATGCTCATTTCTGTTCACAATCTGTCTTCATCTTACCTATCCAGGCTTATTTCACATTCCATGACTAGCTTACAGTTTTTATGTCAAATTGGTAAGGTGTCTTCTCTCAAATGTCAAGCTTAAGAATACTTGTCTGTGGAATAAACATTTCATGAGCATTGTATGTGGGTTGTACAAATAACCAATCTTAACTTAAGCCACTGAATTCTGAATAGGGATCCATATCAGGGTTGCAGAAATGAAATTAGAGAAACTGTCCCATCTAATAAATCAGATGAAATGAGCTCGCAACACTCAAAATATGAGAGACTACCTAAATCTTAATATTTCTTTTCTCTATCCTAATAACTACTCCCTTAAACAAATGAAGTTTTGCTCCCTTCATAAAAATTAAAACAGAGAAAGACTATTTTTCTAGAGGACTTTGCCACCTTTTCTCTCCCTCATCTCCTCTCAAAAGAACAGGAATCACCAAGGCTCCAAAGACCATACTCCAAGAAAACTCTGCCTGGGATTTTGGAACCTAAGACTGTGACTTGGTACATACTTATCTGGCTGAACTTGGACACTGTGAGCCAATTCTTCCTGCACTCATCTTCTGAGACGTTACTTTCTCCTAGTCGTGAATTCAATTGGTCATTTTGACAGCAGGTGTTGATTGTTATGACCTGGAGAGAAAGTCACTTGTTGACACACGATGTTAATCTGAAAGCACTCTGGGTCACATTAATAGAGGCACCAGGATAGAGTAGTGGTTAACACTGACTGCAGGTTAGAGTCACCTGGGATTCTGACAAATCCCATCACTCAGGCTGGCAGGACACTACACCCCTGTAACTTCTCTTTGCAGTCATGATTAAGAATCAAGGTGTAGGGCCGGGGATTTAGCTCAGTGGTTTCGCCACCTGCTGTGCAAGTGCAAGGACCCGGTACCAAAAAAAAAAAAAAAGTTCTATCCCCGGTACCAAAAAAAAAAAAAAGAATCAAGGTGTGGGGCAGGAATCCTTAGACTTGGGTGTACATCAAAATCGCCCTAGTTAAAACCTCAAACCACTGGACCCACCCTCACATCTCTACTTGGTAGGTCGGGAAGAGGGAAAGTTTGAGTCTCTCGTAGCAAGAAGCTCATGCTGCTGGTAAGAGACTATATTTTGAGAATCACTGGTATAGAGGAAAACAAAACAAAAATATTTGGATGCAAAACACTTGTACTAGAATTTTATTCCCTATCAATTAGAAGCTACATGAACTTGGGTAAATTATTTAATAGGTCTCTGTGCCTAATAATATGACTGTCACATATACTTCTCATGGACAGAAAACAAATTGGGTAAGTTGGTAAACCACAAAGCAATAAAAAAATGCAAGGTTGAGTACTTGAACTCAATGCAATTCCTAGGTGAACTCTGGCCATTTGAACTACTCTAAAAACAAATCTTAGATGCATATTTCTCAGGATTCCAACAACTCATGACATTTACCCTGAAAGAATAGCTTTCCTCATCAAACTACCTCCGTTTCCTAAAGGTAATTTTACATAATTGTCTCAATACTTATCTCTACTTCTGCTTCTCCTTCTAAAATGGGGGCTCTGGTATTTTTTTTAAAAGCATCCTGATGATTATTTGGAAAAATAAGGGTAAAACAGAAAAAGTAAAACATGACAAGAAGAAGCTAATTCTTGCAGAACTGCTAATTCAGATCTAAGACTTCCTAGCATAGAGAAAAAGATTCACTGAATGAAACTGAAAGCATATGAGAAGCTATAGGATTGAGCTAAAACACTGCTTACAGGGAATGTTATAGTACTCAATGCCTATATTAGAAAAAAAGACAATCTCAAATCGGTGATCAAAGTTGCTATCTTAACAAACTAGGAAGAGAAGGGCAGATTAAACTCAAAATAAACAGAACAAAGGAAATATTAAAGAGCAGAAATCACTGGACAAGAAATCTAGAAAAAAAACAATGAAATAAGAACTGGTTCTTTGAGAAGATCAATAAAAGGGATAAACTGGTAGCCAAACTGATCATGAAAGGGAAAAAAAATGTAAATTTAAAATATTAAGAATAAAATAAGTGGGCCAAGGATGTAGCTCAGTTATGCCATAAATGTCTGGCAACTACAAGGTCCTGAGTTCAATTCTGAGTACCAGAAGAAAAAAAAAGAATAAAATAAGTGAAGAATTCTTGGAAGATGGCAATGTGGTGAAGAGCAGGGGAAAAGCCTCTCTGAGATTTGGTGTCCAGACACTGGGATACAGCAACATAAGGAAGAGAGGAAAGAAGGAAGTGGGTCCCCAGGACCCAGCAAGGATCTGAAGTGAGAATTGAAGCCCATAAGGACAGGGAAGAGAGGGCTCTCAAAGCAGAAGAAGGAGTGGCAAGCAGTGCTTTCTCCCTAAGCCCTGGCTTGCTGCATGGGAGCGGTTCCTTGAACTTGCAGATGCATGGTGACTACTGGTGACCCCAGAGGCCTCCACAGAGAAATGCACCAGTAGAATGGAGTGGTGGATGCAAGTGGCTGATGAGTTTTTTGGGTTCAGATGTCCCCAGGAGATGACGATTGGCAGGTCGCCATTTTGGAGAGGGGAAAAATGACCTCTGAACTCAGCAGATGCAGGTTGGCTCCATCTAGTGGCTCTCAGTGTCAAGGTGAGGTGGGGTGGAGTTCAAATCAGCAAAAGGTCAAGACACTGAGTTCAGTCCAGCAGCAGACACACAAATGTTGCAAACTGAACAACTCAAGTTCAAGCCTTACAGTCAGAAAACAGCCTGAACTTCGATAAAACTAAGGGTGCAGGCTTGCTGGTATTATCCACTACTGCACCATAAATCTTTTGCTGGATTTCTGGAATTAATCAACATGGATCTGGGCTTTGTCAGCCCACTCTGTCTACCAGTGAGAACAACAACACACCCTAAAGTAGATACTTTTTTTTTCTTTTCTTACTTTTTCTTGTCTTTTTTCTTGTTTGTTCTTCTTTTTATATGGATGTGAACATTTGTCTAGTTCTTTTGTTGTTGTTTTGTTCTGTCCTTGTTTTTATTTCTTCCTTCTGTCTTGTCCTCTCCTGTCCTCTTCACCAGTTTCCCAAAATTTGCATAATCTTCCGTTGTCCTCTACCCTTGCTTCTAATCTCTCTCTTCTTCTATTTCTCTACTTTTTCCTCTAACTCATTTTAAATTTTCTCCCCTGAGGGTAAAATCACTATAGTGAGGGCATATTTACTATATATAATTTTCTGATTTGTTTTAGATTTTCTTATGTAATGACAAATCTAGTTCATACAATTAAAGGTGGCAAATTAATACTTACCACCATTTGTCATTTGCTAGGCTATGTTTGATACTATTGTTATTACTGATTGCACTACTTTAGCCAAAGTGACATAATTATTCTAATCAATTGTTCTCCCTGGTATGTCACAATTGAGACCGCCCAAAGTTTATAAGCAACGCTGTAGGCCAGTGCCAAAGAATCAGGGGCTAGGCCAAATAGGCAGCAATTTCTCCTCCCAAATAAATTAAAGACATAGGATCTTGGAACAGACTCAAAACCAAAAAGCCAGCTACACCTGGAAGACATCTCTGAGACGTAGTTATTTCCTAAGGCTTCTTGATACTACCAAAAGCTACCTGCCATAAGCAATTTACAACCATCAACCCAGGAATTAAACTAAAAAAAATAGAGAATAAGAAGACATGGAAGCAAGATGAAACCTCAAACTTCAAGCTCATGAAAGGCATACCCAGGGGATAATGAGGTGGAATAATTTGAAAGCCACCCACCTGGACTCTCTGAAGTGGTAACAGCAGACGTAACAAAGAAATGAATGAGGCTCTAGAATAAAATCAAATCAGAAATAATTTCTCAAATAACTAGAGAGATGGTGACCATAATGAAGAACATGATTAGTGAATCTCAAGCAACTATAGATTAAAAAAAAAAGAGGAGCTTAGGAAAATGATGAAAACCATGAACAGCCAACACAGGAAAAAATGGAATCCATTAAATCGATTCAAACAGATATCCAGGAGATTAAAAATTCTATTGAAAGTATACACAGCACAATCAACCATTGTGAGGACAGAATATCAGATATAGAAGACAGGATTGTGAAGAAGAAAAATAAAAGAGACAGGACTGTGGTTAACAATCATGAAGAGAAAGATTTCTTAAAAATACCAAAGGATCATGAAAAATCAATACAACAGCTGCTTGATGATGCAAAAAAAAACATAAGATTTATCAGAGTTGATGAAAAAGCAGGAGATACCACAAATGACATTAAAAAAAACTGTTCACAGAAGTAATAGTAGAAAACTTCTCAAGCATGGAAAAGAATGACATACAGATAAGTGAGGCATATAGAACTCCAATTAGCCATGATAAAAAAAATCTACCCCAAGACATATAATAGTCAAGATTCCAGAAATTCAACCCAAGAAAAACATATTAAATGCTGTTAGAGAAAAGAAACAAATCACTTATACAGGAAAGCCCATCAGAATCACAGGAGACTTCTCAATACAAACCCTCAAGTCAAGGAGAATTTGGAGTGAACTATTTCAAGTCCTATAAGAAAAGAACCTCCAGCTTGACATTCTAGAAAGAAAGAGATAAGGAAAACTACAACTTCATAAACCCCAACAAAATGAATCCACCTGGAAAGGCAAGTAATTAAATGGGGGGGGGCAGGAAAATAAAATAAGATGACAAAGATAAGTCAATACGTACCAGTTATAACCATCAATGTTAATGGTCTCAATTCATCAATCAAAAGAAACAGATTAGCAGAATGGATCAAGAAGCAAGATCCAGTATGCTGCATGCAAGAAACACATTTGATTGAAAAAGAAATTCATAGATTGAAAGTCAAAGGATGGAAAACAATACTCTATGCAACAGGAATCTGGAAAAAAAGCATTCAAAAAAAGCTATTCTATTTGCACACAAAGGTATTTCAAGCCAAGACTGATTAAGAGAGACAAAGAAGGTCACTACATCCTTGTAAAAGGAACAATCCAACAGGAAGAGATAACAATCATAAATATATATGCACCAAATACCAGTGCACCCAACTGTATAATACAAATATTAATGGATAGAAAATCAAACAAGCACTAATACATTTGTAATAGGGAACCTCAATACCCCACTGTCATAAGCAGACAGATCAACTATACAAAAAATCAACAAAGTAATAACAAAACTGAACCAAACTTTTTTTGAACAAATGGACCTAGTAGATAGCCACAAAATGTTCCTTACAACACCAGAATATACATTCTTCTTGGCTGCACATGGGACATTCTCCAAAATAGACCATGTACTAGCTCCTAGAACAAGCTTAAGTTAATGCAGAGGAATTGAAATTATCCTGTGCATATTATCAGAACATAGTGCAATGAAATTGGAAATCAATGGCAGAATAAAGCACAAAAAATTCATAAGCATGTGGAAATTAAATAACACCCTCCTGAACAACCAATGGGTCACAGATAAAATTAAAAAAGAAATTAGACAGTTTCTCCAATTAAATGATGATGCCAATACAACATACCAGAATTTATGAGATGCAATGAAAGCAGTCTTACAGGGGAATTTATAGCAGTAAATTCTCATATCAGAAAAACAGAGTGAGCTCAAATAAACTACCTAATGTTGAACCTGAAGCTTCTAGAAAACACAAAAGATTCTTCAGAAATCCAGAAGATCATCAATATGTACACTGAGAACTTGTATTCTGATAAAATTAAAAATACAGAAAAAATGGATAGATTCCTAGATACATATGAATCACCAAAATTGAACAAAGAAGACATAAACATTCTGAATAACCCAATATTAGTCAATGAAATTGAAGTTGTAATTAAAAAACCTACCAACAAAGAAAAGCCCAGGTCCTGACAGATTCACAGCTGAATTCTACAAGAAATTCAGAGAAGATCTAATGCTGCTACATCTCAAACCCTTTAATAAAATTGAAAGGGAAACAATACTCCCAAATGCATTCCTGGAAGCAAGCATTACCCTAATACCAAAACCAGGGAAGGATTCAACCAAAAAAAAGAGAACTACAGGCCAGTATCCCTAATGAACATAGACACAGATATCCTCAATAAGATACTGGCTAATAGAATGTAGCAAATCATCAAGAAAATTACACACCAGGACCAAGTAGGATCCATTCCAGGGATGCAGGGATGGTTCAATGTATGCAAATCAATAAATGTAATACACTATATTAACAGAGCCAAGGACAAAAACCACATTATCATCTCAATAGATGCAGAAAAAGTGTTTGACAAAGTCCAACACCCATTCATGATAAAAAATTCTACAGAAAATTGGAATAAGTGATCTTTATCTCAATCTGATAAAAGCTATCTATAACAAACCAACAGCCAACATCATACTAAATAGAAAAAAACTGAAAGCTTTCACTCTAAAATCAAGAACAAAACAAGCATGTTCACTGTCACTACTCTTATTCAATATACTTCTGGAAATATTAGCCAGAGCAATTAGACAAGAGAAAAAAGAAAAGGAATAAGCATAAGAAAGAAGAAGTTAAATTATGATTATTTTCAGATGACATGCTACTCTACATACAAGACCCCAAAAACTCCACCGAAAGACTTCTAGATATAATAACCAAATTCAGTAGTGTGTCTGGATACACTCAACACTCAAATATCAATAGCATTCCTGTACACAAATAACAAACATACTGACAGAGAAATTAGGAAAGCAACAGCTTTCACTATAATACCATCCTAAAAAATGAAATAACAAGAAATCAATCAAATAGTGAGAATTACAGTACTCTGAAAAAGGAGATCAAAGAAGATATCAGGAAATGGAAAGATATCCATTGCTCCTGGATAGGAAGAACCAATAAAATGAAAATGGTTATACTTCCAAGATTGTTATGCAGATTTAATGCAATCCCAATCAAAACACCAGAATTAGAGAAAACAATCCTAAAATTCATTTGAAACCAAAAGAGACCCAGAATAGCAAAAGCAATTCTGGGTAACAAAGGCAAAGCAGACTTGAAATTATACTACAAAGCTACTGTGATAAAAACAGCAAGGTACTGGAAAAAAACAGACACAAGGATCAATGGAACAGACAAGAAGATGCAGAAACAACTCCAAACACACCCAGCCACCTTATCTTAACAAAGGGGCCAAACACCTTCACTGGAAGAAAGATAGCCTCTTTGATAAATGGTGCTGAAAAACTGGCTTTGCACATGCTGAAGATTAAAACTAAACCCATATCTTTCACCATGCACTAAACTAAAATTGAAGTGGATAAAATCCTCAATATTAAAACAGAAACCCTAAATCTGCTGGAATATAGAATAGGTAGAACACTTGAAGACACTGATGTAGGCAAGGACTTTATGAACAACACCCTGATCACACAGAAAATATCACAAAGAATCAACAACTAGGATCTCATCTCATTAAAAAGCTTTTGCACAGCAAAAGGAACCACCAACAAGTGAAAAGACAGCCCACAGTGTGGGAAGAAATTTTTGCCAGCTGTTCCTCAGACAAATATCTAGAATACATAAAGAACTCAAAACTTCATACCCCCAAATTTAAAGACCCAATCCAAAACTGGCCATCTGAAATGAATAGACATTTCTCAGATGAGGAAGTAGAAACAGCAAATAAATTTATTAAAAAATGATCAACATCACTGGTCATTTGAGAGATGTAAATTAGAACAATGCTGAGATTCCATCTCACTCCAGAAAGAATGGCTGCTATCAAGAAATCAACCAATAACAAATGCTGGCAGGGTTGTAGGGAAAAAGGAACCCTGCTCCACTGTTGGTGGAAGTGTAGACTGGTGCAACCACTATGGAAATCAGTGTGGAGAGTCCTCAAAAAACTAAAACTAGAGGTTCCATTTGACCCAGCTATTTCTCTTCTCAGTATCTTCCAGAAAGAATTAAAAGCGTCATACCACAGCAATATATGCACACCCATGTTTTTAGAGGCACAGTTCATAAAAACTAAATCTGAAAAATAGCCCAAATAGTCTTCATTTATAGCAAGTATACATAGACCCGAATTTTTATATATATCTTGTGTTTTCTAATCCTGCTAAATTCAA